GATCCTCCTGTCGATCCACTGGCGCGCATTTGCCGATCCTACTATTCACGAGATCTCCCGGGTCCCGGATTCCCCACATTCCCAAAGTGCGGTCTTACTGAAATCTTTGACTTATCGAAGTCCATTTTGCCCTTAGAATTTTTCATATCCTTATTACAGCTACATGTCAAGGAAATTGGAATAACGGATTTGATTGATATGAAGTTTTTTGAAAATAGGACAAATGGACAGAGTAAAGGATTTGCACTGCTTGTCTTTGCCAGTGACGCATGTTAGTTTATTCTTTCATCTTTTTAAAACTTTCCTTTTGCAGAATCATAGGTATTTAGCGTTTACAGTATGTTGTTAAACTTATACTTACGAGAATTTTTCTAGCTGTACGCACCGTAACTGAACAAATGCCACAACGTCAGATTCACGGTCAAGCTCCTGTAATTCTTCCTTACACTAAGGCATCTTTGAATCGTCTGGATGAGGCCACGTCTAAAATGCAGAGTAGGCCGGATCCTAAGGCAGCGAAAAAGGTCTGTTTTGAATAAGAGCTTTGCTCCTGATTAAAATCTTGTGAACTATCCAAGTGTTACTACCTCAAACCTCAAAGAAAAAATTTTGCTGAAACTTTGCCTGTACGGGTTGCTCGATGCCCTGGTCACGAACACGACGTTTATTTTCAACCCAGGCCCCATTTGACGCAAAATCCATGACAACTTGTATAATGTGGTTGTTTGTTGGACACCTTGGTCCCGAATATAGCAATCATTCTCGATTTAGCGCTCTGCTAAGCCTGAGCCTGAGAGACCGATCTTCTTCAGGCCAAGCTCAGCCTTAAAGGCATATGGCACGGTAATTTAGTACTCGGTCTAAAATGCTAGTAGGGTGCTGTATAGTGGGGAAAATGGCGAAAAACGAAGTGAAACGGTCAAAAATCGTGAAGGAAAGCCTTCGCTCTCAGTGGCTCAGAACACTTTCGGACGAATTCCTCATAGGTATCTTGCTCATAACTGCTATGGTAAATACGGCTGCATATGTACTCATGTATTCATGCAGCAGCGCGGCCTCTTCATACCATTCTCTTCCCTCATGTTGTACTTCGCAAATGAAGCAATACGAGCATCAGGTACGGTCGTCCATTTGTGGGCGGGCGGGCGCGGTGGGCGTTTGGATCGGTATGTTGCAGCTTGATAGGGCCTTATGAGGATAGCTTCCTTGGGAAAAGCGCTACGCAGCGATTGTTCAGGATTGAGGAATTTCGTTGTGCCATATTAATCCTACACGTCCTAGGAACAACTTATCGTGCCAACTATCTTTAACAGAGTGCAGCTGGTGGCAGTGTTCTCCATTAGCGCTGGCGAAAATGATGAATGATATTTTCCTAATGAGGATGTCAAATAGCCCCAATAATCAAGTTTCGATTTTGGTGATCGAGGGCATTATGGCGCCGGCGCCTGTAGCAGGCCAAGCTTATGTGATATTCATGTACAAGAGGTCGAACCACCTCGGGACAAGTTTTTTTAGTGAATATTGTGATTTTGGCATCCTGGCCCCGGCGCCGGATACTTTCAGAGCAAGCGGACGTGATATTTCTGATCAGGAGGTCAAACTACCCCTAGAAAAAGATGGCAAAATACTGGGTTGATTTCGGACGATTGGAGTAGTAATAGTTGAACAGTGCCGAATCTTGCGACATTGAAATCGCGACATTGATGTCATTACTACGATTTCGATATGAAATGACCGGTTTTCATTTTCAGGAAGAAGCATGTATGAATATGGGAACGATACGCATTGGAGCAACAGGAACTGTGCCTGCTGGACCTCCGCCAATGATGGGGCCTCGTATGGGTCCTGGTGCACCAGGAGGAGGAGCTCCTATGCCGATGATGCCGATGCGTCCAGGTCCTGGTGGTCCTCCCATGAATATGGGAGGTGGTGGCCCAATGGGACCGGGCGGCGGTGGTCCTATGGGACCTGGGAACATTATGAACAGAGGGCCGGTCATGATGGGACAACCAGTAAACCAGGTTCGTTTGAACTGACGTCTATTCTGATATACTTCCAATGCTCTGACATGTTTGTATGATTCCTTTCAGGGTCCTATGATGGGCCGTCCAATTGGTCCTCCTGGAGTAAACGCCCCCATTGGTGGAGTACAGATCGGTGGGCCTGTTCAGATGGGAGTTGCTAATCAGATGACAACTGGACCACCTCGCCCAATGATGGGGGGTAACGTGCCCATGCACATGAGCACTGCACCACCAATGATTCAGCCAGGAATGCAAGTGCATCCAAAGTGAGTACGGCATTTCAGTTTTGTTGTTCCGTTCTGTTGCCATGTGTGAAATATTTTCAGCCGGCCGCCTCCCGGTGTCCAGTTTGGAGGTGGTCAGCAGCCGGTTATGGGAATGGGCCAGCAACAAATGGTTCAGCAAGGTCCTCCTGGTATGCGTCCAATGACCGGTCCTCCATCAGGGCCTCATCAACAGCTGATGGCTCCTCATGGTGCTCATATAAATCCTCAGGTAGGTATTCCAGTGCACGCCTTTCAGTCTTTAAGATATTCAGCAATTTCAAATCAATCGATCATGTGCCCTCTCACGATTACTCTTCGACTACAGTTCTCACATCAACCGTTACACCGCGTTTAGACTTTGCGATCGTGCGACTGGGTCGCGCGATCGGATCGCTTGATTGGATTGCGCGACCACGACCGGGGGCGCTCCACCGCCAAGCTGCAGAATTCAAATCAGGTCCGCATTCACGCAGAGCCAAATTGATTTTCGCCGTTCGACAGAGCACCATTTGGCGGTGGAGCGCTAAGGTCATGATCCGATCGAGCGATTTGGTCGCATGATCGCGAATTTCGAGCGCGGTCTTATTTTGCGCATTCGCTTAGATTGAAAGAAAGATAAGTGATTAAGAAGAGAGCGAAAAACAGGTTCACGAGTACAGAACTACGAACACTGATGGCGAACGAAAAAATGCAGTAACTTAACCATAGCACTTTTTTCCGAAGAAATGAAGAAGCATTCGCCGTTGGCGGATCCAGCCCTGATTCCAAAAACAGTGCAGTAAAGAGTTACTCGTCGTGGTGGGGGTTATTTTGATGAAATTCGTGGCATTTTATCCTCTAGTTATCCGATATTACGATACCAACTAAACTCAATGAAAAACGGTTGTAAAGGGCTGTAGCCAACTGTATCTACGATGAACTCTCCGGCTGAATGTGCCCATAATGTTCTACTATGTTGTTCGAAAAAATATCCGTGCTTTAAGATGTTTCCAAATATGCAACAACAACCTCCAGTACCCGGTGCTATGAATGACGTGGAATTTGAAGAGATAATGAATAGAAACAGGTTAGTGTGACCTAAAATGAAGGCAATTATCAGGTATTACATAGAAGTAAAAAAAAAAGTTTTCAGGACCGTAGCATCTTCTGCGATTTCTCGTGCGGTCGCAGATGCGGCTGGAGGAGACGTCAAGTCAGCGACGGAAACTATTTTAACAGCGATCTCGCTTATCAAGCAAAGTCGTGTAGCTCAAGACGACCGTTGTCGCGTTCTCGTTGTTAGCCTCCAGGTAGCTCCTAACAAATTTTTATTTAATTGTAATTTCCTAAACAAAGTGTTGTTTGTGGAAAGGCCAAAATTTGTCATACTCGTCACACTACAATTTGTCACTTCTACTATCACTATACAAGGTGCGGAGAAAGTAAGTGCAAGTTGTTACTACCCAAACGGTTACCGCCTTCAGCCGAATGGTCATACGAATGTCCGGTAGTTCTTCTGTTATCAGTAGCTCAAGTTATATTCCAAACGTCTTCCGAATTCGAAACTCCCAATTCGGTGACTTCTTATCCTGATCGAGACCGCGACCTTCTACTTGCAGCTTGTGCGGAAAAATACCCTTAAACAGTAAAAAGTATGAAGGCCCACCTTCAGACAAACTGAGGGTCTCAGTCCTTTGACTGACGCTCTCTGACAAAAGAACGACTGTAAATTCGGTTTCCTCATGAAAAGATGTGGAGTGAGTCAATTATCATGGGGCTGTTCTCAAGGTTCCTTTGAAAGTTGCCAAAAAAGAATGAGAATAACCTAAGCGCTGATGAAAAGCTATTGATCAGACTTTATCGCTGTCAAAGGCCCATGCTCTTACTCTACCTATGAAGAAAACTCGCAGTGAACTGCAAGATGGTCCTTGAACGGTTACGTCGGCATGCTACCGGAGCATTGCCTTCATTGACAAAAAATTGTTTTCCATGAAGTTATTTTCAATTGTCAAAATGACTTTGCACAGTGTACATCAACTGGTAGAGACAAAGAGCAGAGGGCTGGAATTTTGTGAGTCTCAAGGACATGCTTCAGCAGTAAACAGTGTCACTTCAGATTGACGGTGACCTGGCACAGGGTGAACTGAAATTTTTAGACGAAATCCCTCTGAAATAAGTTTGTGACAGTGGAAAGTTTCTGTTACAATGGATGCCCACCCCTTTCCCTCTTTTGAAGACCTGTTTTCCCACTCAAGGAGGAATTCGTTGAAATGTGAGCATATATGGTGGAGTTGAATTTGGTTGGTAAATTGCTACTGAGAAACAGTTCTCAATCTGTTCCACCATTTTTACAATGATGTTCCCAAATTCGGCGCACCCAGTACTTGCGAGGTGCGTTTGCGCGTGTGCGGTTGATCATGCAAGGTGGTTCGAGGATGTTTTCATAATTAGAAGCAAAGGAAAGGAAACATTGGGAAAGGAATACACTCCAGAGCACAGATGATCCGTTTCGCTCGGTATCGCAGACGAATCATCATTGTCAGCCAACCCCCGAGCTCATCAGTGCGACAGGTTGACGACATGAGGACATGGACAACATAGGGGAAGGTGTTGAGAAATAGGATAAAACGAGAGAGAATGTAAAAGTAAAGGGGTATACATGCAAAGTTCATGCATATCAAGATGATGGCCAATTATACATAATAATGAAAGAGTGATATAACACGATATGAGTAGTAAATACGTGTAGGAGGAAGGAAAATTGGATTGATAATAGGTTAAACCTACTGAAAGATGTTGAGTATCAACCAATGTCCAAGCGGATTACAACAATCAAATCAATTAAAAAGTGTAGCGGAAGGAGGAGAATTAGCGACGAGCACCGCTGCAAATGAGAATACCTGTTACTAGTCTATTTATCTTTCTATAGTTATTTGCGATTGAGAATTTGTAACTTATAAATTTATTTTTGTAAATACATTTTACAATGCTAGTAATAATGAAATCTTCTTCGTAGCCATTTTTCAAAAGAGTTGTGACCATATCCGTTATTTTGCTAACGAAAACGTTGAAGAACGAACAAGTGTTCGCTAACCTCAAAGTTTCCGTATATATAACAGAGGATTTGTTAATAAGGGAAATGTTTGTGTCACTATACGGAAATCTGATTACATTGAAGCTAAAATCATCCGTTTTATTATACAGCTTGGTACTAATTTTACCGTTAGTAATATTAATTGTTAAATCTAAATAATTGCTAGAAACTTCACTATTATGAGTTTTTTTCAATTGAAGGGTATTTTGATAAACTTGAGAAAGTTGTTCATCCACATCATCATCAGTTTGGTTATGCACAACAAGCAAATCATCCATATATATATATATATATATATATATATATATATATATATATATATATATATATATATATATATATATATATATATATATATATATATATATATATATATATATATATATATATATTATATATATATCTATATGGAATGAATAGCTTACTTTTATTAAACTTTTTAGATTTAGCATAGTCATACTCCATGACAGAAAGCGTAAGATCTGCCAGTAGTGGACTGAAATTGCCACCTTGTGGGACACCTTTAGTCTGCTTGAACGTATTATTAGCAAAAAGACAAAAACTGTTACGTAAAAGATAGTCAATAAAGTAAACTAAATCGCTGGATTTGTAATATCTGTAGTTGTTCTTAATTTCTTTACCATCTGTATAGAAAACATGGTAACCATTAATAAAACAGTGTTCCACTACATAATTACGCTGTCGTGGATAATAGATGAGTGTACATATGTCCTACATTTCAAATTATTTCAGGATACGCTGAATGGAATTGAAACTAAGGCGTATTCGGGTGGTGGAGGAAGTCGTAGTAAACATCGCGACAGATCACGTAGCCGTTCGCGAGATCGCGACCGTAAGCGACGACGCCGCAGCCGTTCAAGGAGCCGGTATGTTATTATTTCACCCCTAGTACTTTTAGCGTACCTTCGGTGAACACTATTTCGTCGACTTCTTTCCATGACTGAGCGTTTCTTTCTAGGCATTTATGAAATGAGCTATCTGACGTTTCGATAGTCTCCCATACTTGTTACATGTAATATCCATGAACGAAGTTTCAAAGCTTTTGTAGATATGATAGGGAGTCTATACTAGAAAGGTTGCTACAGGATTCTCGATGGTTTTTTCAACTGAGAAAGCAAAAGTAGTTAACCGAAGTGTAGGACTAGTGCGCGCTACATTTCTGGCCCTTGCTGTGCCTCTCACGGAATAGATGCAAAAGTCTTTTGTATACGTTGTGATATGTTCCACGAGAAGCCTAGCGGTTCTTTCCAATCACAGTGTTCAGTGACTAAGAGTACGTTCATACTTTGCGTCATGTTTTTGAGCGAACTGCAGAGTTCTCAGCGACTAAGAGAGTATAGATATCGACCTACCGCATGTCAGCGTACAGCAGCGTTCCGAGCGTGCACCAGCGTACTAATTCACTGCCTATACTCTCCTAATCGCTGAAAACGCCGGCATATGCTATATCGAAACCTATTCTTTCCTAACCGCTGGCGTACGCTCGAAACGCTGCCGCGCGCTGACGTAAAGTATGAACGCGATTAAGTCTCGTAATACTAGTTGTGATACAGCATGATGGTGCTCAAAGCATACGAACCACTTGCTGCCTATATTTTTCCAACTTTAGACGCAAAAATAGTTCTGTACCTCAGTAGTTATTAGAAGGTTGAAAAAGTCTCTATTTCTCATGAAGTGCCGGTGTTAATGTCACGTTTGCTTCCAAATTGCCCTCACTTGTTATTTCACCTAAAGCGCCCTTCACTTCAGCTCGAGTTCACGTTCGCGCTCCCCAAGACATTCGCGCAGCCGTTATCATTGAATATGGAGTTGATCTTCGTTTGTTCCCTTTAAAAGGTATGTCAGTGAATGCACTATTTTATTGTTTGTTATTTGCTATGACGCTGTTGTAGATTCTGAGTAATCATTTTTGATTGGAGTTTCTACAGAACAGAACTATTGGTCTAATTGTTCATTGGAAATACTTCTTTTCTTGCGTGGTTGATTTTTATTTTCTCACTGCCTACTGTGCGTTATTTTTCACACGCACAAACTTCTTTGTCAGTGCTTGAACTCTTCTCTCCTCACAGCCTTGAAAAGCTTGTCTTGTAAGGCATTTCTTATTGAAAAATGATAGTTTTTCTTATTTGTTGTTATGATTTCGGTGTTTTACATTTTTGGAAATTCCTCAGATCTCCCTTTCTTCACTCCTAGTTCAATTTCCGCTTCGTTGCAGATTTTGCACTCTGCATTTCATTTTGCTCACTCAGCGATTTCAAAAGCAAGTTATTATTGAGTTGACAGTTGACCTTAAATTATCTATTTATGCCCTTTCTATTACTCGACCTGTAGGCGCAGAACAGTTGATCACACTTGTTCATGTTTATTTTTCCGAAAATTTAAAAACATGCCCCATCATTTGGTAATATAGTCTTTCCCTTTTTTCCAAGCAAATTTAATAGAGAACATACTTTCGATACATATACTTTAGGTTGGGCCATAAGTTTCTGACGAACTTGTTTGAGCTTTTCCTGTGATTTTATGGGTTCCTAGAAAATTTTCAATCAACTGATTTTTGAACAAGTTTCAGTAATAGATTCCAAAGCAAAGAACGACTCCGTCGTTGATAAACGCGACCGTGCCATCTGTCCGCTGGTGGTCCATGAATCCATATTTTGCAGCTCGTCGTAAATGAGGGAATCCGAATCCGCACACTGTGGGAAGTTGGAATTGCTCCTGGCACAATTAACATGCAACTGCTTGCCAGTTTCATCACCGGAAAAGTTTTCAAGACATAGAATCCGTGTGGTTCAAGAACTTGCCATTTGCCAGGAAGGTGCTCGAGCGTGCTTGCAGATTCCATCTTTTGAACGGCTTTTGACTTGAAGGATATATTCGTCGTAGATGAGGAGTCGGTCGATCAACTGTATGCGAGGACGATCATGACTCAGCCCGTGATCCAACTATTCCAATGCTGGAACCAGAGTAACCACGTAGAAAATACAGGGTCTCGTATGGTCAACTCTCTCACCCGGAGTTTTCATATATAGGCTGCGTTCATACTTTGCGTCAGCGTCCACCAGCGACTGGGAAAGTATTTATATCGATCCAGCGAACACCATCGTCTACCAGGGTCCATCAGCGTTACAAGAGGCTAGGGAACTATGTGTATCGATCTAGCGAACGCTAGCGTCCACCAGCACACAGCAGCGTTTTCGCGGCCAGCTTTACTCAAGTTGAGAAGTGCCCGCGAAAACGCTGCTGTAACCTGGTAGACGCTAGCGTTTGCTAGATCGATACCTATACTTCAATAGTCCCTTGAGACGCAGATGGACGCTGGTAGACGCTGGTGGCCACTAATGAACGCTAGAACCAGGGATGAACGCAGCCGTATGGGCTTCTGTCAACCGGGTGTTTTCTCGCTAGTGGAGGTATTTTCTCGTCGAGCATTTGAAAGAAAGGAAGAGGAAAGAGAGAAGGAAGCAAGGATAAGAACAAAGAAGGAAGCAGGTGGGTGACTTCGCGGCTGGCAGATATCCTGAGGGACAGAGGACAACCACTTGTCTCTTGCTGTCAACAATCACGGGCGGTAACCCTTCCAATGACGAAACGCACCTCAAAAGGGAGGTGAGAAATTTTTCCCGGGATGCCATTCTCAAAAAGTCTTGGAATCGCCCAGTAATAGTTAGTTCGCAAACGAATCAATCGAAATAAAAACAAGTTGCCCTGGCAGTTTGTGATGAGTGCTGATGGTGCTTACTCGGTTTTTTATTACTATTGTTTTTTGTTACAAATTCAATGAAATTTCATATAAAAATTTGTCAGAAACTTGTGCCCTTATACCCATATTTTTTCATATCACCTCTTCTGTTTTTAGTCTATATAAACTTTGAGCTTTTTTTGAACAGTTTATTTTTGAAAAAGATTCAGCATTTGTAGCTTTCCTTGTTGACTCTGTTTTAACGACCGTCGGGAAGCGTTCGAAAGTGCTCAATATCGAAGTTAGTTCACCAATGATTCTTGAATAATTTTGACGATAAGTGTTCTCTTGTGACACAGGCTGTTGTTAGGGTACCGTCCACAGAAGTACTGTTTTATATGATTATTTAATCGGGCGTACATATTGTATTGGATCCAAACAATACAAAGTTTATAGAATCAGACTTTCTCGATCAAAAGTGATGTCAGTGTGTGAAAAAGTAGGTGTAAGGGAGGATTCGTCAGTTCGAAACTTGCCAACTTTATCTTGTTTTACGCTATCGCAATTGCACAACCGTTTTATCTTGCCGTTGTTGTCGTGATTAGTTACTTTTTTTCTGCGAGTAATGATGTATTTCAACATCTCATTTCTCTGTCAGCTGTATAGGCAGTAATTATTTGTTGGCTGTTAGTTAATGAAATGTTTTTTTGCACAGGTTCTGTTGTATAAGCCATGCGTTCGTTATTCGAGTAAGGAAGAAGAAAGATCTACTACGTTCCTTCGGTGGCATCGCTTCCGTCGTGGGATGTTGTTCTCAGATCAGCTTTTATCCTCCATATTCCATGTTGAAATTTGTTGATGTAACAGATAAACAGTGTAGTCCTAAATTGTTCAGCAAATTTCAAACAAATTTTTGGCAATCACATTGTTTTCCACTTCATGGTAAGCTTTTTTGCACATTCTATTTATGTAAACATGTTGTTTTGTTGTTTATCAAGTGTATTATGTAAATGGGTGCTCTCCTTTGTTTAATTCCTTTTTCTTTTCAGAAATCTCAACATGGTTACGGGTGATATGTACGAGTTTGAATCGTCAACGATCTATTTGTTCCATGTTTTATTCTCACAATTTGCTCACAAGATGCCTGGCAATAAATCATCGAATTTCATTGTGCAGTGTGGTCCATGGGGAACGATTGCGAAATTGAATTTAACTATTGCGAGATGTCACCCTACGCAACGTAGGTTGACCAACGACTCCCAAGGGGATGTGTATTGTTGAATTTCACCGGCCTGTGATGTAATTAGTGCTCTGAAGCACTTTTTCTCAAAAACTGCAACCTTAAACAGTCCAAAAACTTGTTTCGTCAGTTTTGGTGAAAAACGACTTATGGGCAACATGTTCGAGCAGAATTGTCGTCTTGAGCGCATCTAAAAATGGCTCGCACGGGTATTTGCAACTTACCCCGATGAAGGCTTTGCACGATAAACCCTTCAAGGTGACTAGGATCAGTACTCCTGGCAGGATAAGACCCTGGGCAGGCGCTGCATAGCGGTTTCCCCGAGGAAGGTGCCCTTATAAGGGCCCTATCAAGCCACAACATTACGTCCCAAACGCCCGCCCCAAATGGACGACCGTTCCTGACGCTCGTATTCATTCATTTGCCTGAGCAATTATGAAGCGAAGGAATTGGTTATGAACGCGGCCCGCGGTTGCTGCCATGCATTATATAGGCACAAATAGCAGCGATCTTTGCGTTAGCGGTGGGACTGCTTGATGCATACGGGAACTCGTCCGAAATGGCTTTCAAGTCACTGAGAACGGAGGTTTTTTCGCAAAATTTTGACCGTTTCACTCCGTTCTTTCGCCATTTCCCCACTATATAGCGCCCTACTAGCATTTTAAGCCGAGTAGGAAACTATCGTGCCAACTGCCTTCATGTGCCCATCACACTAGGCCACTTGCAGCACATTCCAAGTGCCCCAAATAGAACCTACCGATAATTGTTGGCCCGCATGCTGCGGACGACGTCATGTACTAGATAAGCAAAAAAGTTCGGCAACGGAGAGGGGGGGGGGCGCATTGCATCTTCACTGCTTCATTAGTTCCGGTTCACAAGTCTCACTCTGGAGGAAGTTTGAACCCTTGTGAATTTGGTGCACGCGTCTAGCCAACATGATGAAACCTGTCAGATCCTGCGAGCTCCCTAAATGGCTCTTTTCTAGATGAGTCACACCCACGTCGACGGGTAAGTTAGCAAAAAGTGCGAATGCCCCTCCTCCAGTGTCCTTGAACTGTCCGTCATGTTCGTTCTAAAAATTAGGGCTGCTTTCTTCTAAAGAAAGGATCGTGAATATCAAAAAATGCACAGCGTTTTCATTGAGGGGGTTCTAACCTGTTATGGAGCATATTATAGATGCTATCGCATCGCCACATCATCACGATCAGGGTTCACCTGTCGCTGGGGAAAATTCTCGGAAAGTACCCACTCCAATCTAGATACATATTGTTGGGGTTTCCGTTAATCCGGGATCCGATCCCGAGTACTATTATGAATATGTATTTCTATTTCTTATGACGTACCCCCCCCCCCCTCCCTAGTTCCTCGTGATCACTTGTGAGTACATGTTTGAAAGGAAAAAAAAGCGACAAGTGGGGCAAACAACGAGGCGAAAAAAGGCTTCTTCAACACCGCAAATTTCGTCTCGAAGCAAATACGCCCTCCCCCCCATTATCCCACAAACGAATAAAGACCGGACCCTCCCCTCATATCGTCGAAACAAGAAAAATCAAGTATCAAGAAACCATCAGACCAAGTACGACTCCTCCACCTCCCCAGCGACGGAATTTGGTCCCTACCCGAGCGATCAAACCCGAATTCTCTGTTGCGGAATCGCAAGAATGTATACCCTGTCCCCTTCCCCAATTACCTCCTCCAATGCGATCCCGCTTCCTCATCCCACCTGTTATCCTGCCAACTTTCCGAGCTTCCTACCACACCTTACGAAATTTCCCAAAATTTTCCAGTTTTTCCCCAGCCGTTGAGGGGTGAGTAGGCGAGGAGGAGGTGCGCCCGACAATTTGGACATGAATCCACATCTTGACTTGCTCTTCGTAAAGCATTTCTTTCCATGTAATGGGTTAGCTACACCGACAGGGAGACCCGTGCAGTTCTATCGCACGAGGTTCTGCTCGACTTATTTTGGAAAGTCTGGGCTGCACTT